GTTAAGCAGAGCTGTCTCCTGGGTACAGTAAGCTGCCATGGGGTTGATATCTGTACATCTAAAAGGAAAATAATACAAAGTGTAACTTACAGGCTATGGTTTAACTCTATGCACCACAAGCTAATTTATGGAACCGTAGAATGGTCTGAATTGGAAGTGACCCACAAGGATCATCGAGTCCAACCATTGAGTGAATGGCCTATACAGCAGCTAAACCACYCAGGGGTACACTGGAAGTTTTAATGGTTGTCTGAAAGCTGAAGTACAGGATTTCCATTTCAGTGCTAGTTCTTCATAAATGCATCTGTTAATATAGGTCTTTAATGAAATTCAGTCCCTGCCAACACCCAGGTCACTAATCTTACCAGACCACAGTAAGACTAGTCAGTGACTAAAATTTAGGGTTCAACGSAGGAAACACAAACGTAGGCTTAGCCATTTGTCTGAGAAGTGCAAAARTGGATTTCTAGTCATGGCACTATGTATTTGTTACAGAAGGTAAACCAAATAGTTGAGGCTCTGTGGTGGTTGAGCGTCTCAGAAATGCTCAACAGGCTCTCTTTGCTTTGATTTCTGCATCTACAGAATAAAGTTAATACTTCTTTGTGAAAAGAATGGTTTTTAAAATGTGAAAATGAGAATTATATATCTGAGGGTGAAGCATTCTTTATTATTGCATACAAGTTATACTTGCATATACATGTGCAAGTGCTATTATATTTACGTGTACAGTGCACTGCATCCAAGGAAGGAAGAAGCTAGAAATGTTGAAACCACATGTTGTAGTTTGACACCAGCCAAAGACCAGGCACCCATGACAGCCACTCACTCGCTGTCCCCTGGGCAGAGGAGAGAAAAAAAATTAAACAAAGTGTTCATGAGTTGAGATAAGGACTGGGAGAAAACACTCCAAAGGCAAAACAGGCTCAGCTTAGAGGTACAAAGTGAATTATGACTAACTTAGTCACAGGAGGATAATGAGAAGTAAAATAAGCCATAAAAAAACACTGTTTCTTTCCCCAACCCCTCCCTCCTTTCCACCGAGAGCCCAGAGAGATAGGGTGTGGGAGTTTTGGTCAGTTCGTCACCAAGATCTTCCACTGCTCAGGGCGATGAGTCCTTCCCCTGTGTCACTGTGGGGCCCCGCCCACGGGAGACAGTTCTCCACAAACTCCTCCAGCATAGCCCAAACTGTGTCTCTTATACACTCCCATGGGCAGACAGTTGTCCCAAAACTGCTGTGATGTGGGTCACTCATCAACGGGGTTCACTGTCCTCCAAGGACAGGCTGCTCCAGCCTGGAAGCAGGGCCCCTCTCTCCATTGGGTCTCCCACTGTCTCTCAGCCTCCTCCAGGCACCCACCCACTGTGGTGTGGGCACCTCCCCCATGGGCTGTGAGTGGATCTCTGCATCCCCCGTGAACCCCATGGGCTGCAGGGGCACAGCTGCTCCACCATGGTCATCACCACAGCCTGCAGAGGAATCTCAGCTCCAGCACCTGGAGCACCTCCTCCCCCATCTTCTCCACTGACCAGTCTTGGCCAGCAGCATGTCCATGTTCAGAGCCATTGGGGATTGTCTCTGCTGGACATGGTGGGAGCTTCCAGCAGCTTCTCACAGGAGCCATCCCTGTGGCCCCTCCACTACCAAAAACTGGGCCAAGCAAAACCAACACACCACACCAGATCCAGATCCTATTTCAAGGCAGATCTCAGCTCTAAAGAGAGAAAGCTCTGGATGACTCTTGTTTATAACATTTAAGAGCACCGCAACAGACACAGAATTAGTCAAGACAACATTATAAAAACCCATTTCATTATATTTCTGTTTCTTTCTTTTCATTTTACTTCATTCCTTGATTTCTCATTTAATTTCTTTTCATGAAATATGATTTCTTCATTTCATGAAAAGAAACGAAATCTTGAGATTTCAATGAAGACAATCAAATTTCTGTTCATTTCACTGCAATTCATTTAATTCCCTTTCATTTAATTTATTTTACTTACTTTCATATTTAATTTATTTTCTTTACATTTCAATTAATTCCTGAACTGAATGATTTCTCATTTCATTTTCTTTCATGACAGGAAATGAAGAAGTTTCATTCCATAAAAGGAAATGAAATCTGGAGATTTTAACTAATATAATTTCATTAAGTGTCAGTTAATTTCACTGCACTTAATTTCATTTATTTCACTTAATATTTTTCATTTAATTTCATTGTGTTTCCTTTCTTTTCSTCTTACTTTGTTTCTCTGATCCAGGTTGTACTTCATTGGTCTTAAACTGAACAACAAGGACCACCATTCAAAGAAGGGCCTAAATGTATCTGAACATAAATCATGAAACTTCTCTGATGGCATCCCATGACCTGGGTACAGGCCCTGCAGGAAAGAAGGAAAGAGTGAAAAGGCCATTCTTAGAGGGAAAATGTACATGTGAAACAATATTGTCCTTGCAGATACTTTGCTGTATTCTGCCCATACCATAACACTGTTCATAATTCCTCTTGTAGGGAGGAGTCCAAAGACATTGGGGAGGGTGAGGATGGTTTCTGGGGAGTTTCTGGGGACAGGCAGGTTTCTTGTCTGACTTTGCAGCCCTGGGTGCATTTGTGTGGGTCTGTAGAGCTCATGCTCTGCCAGCCAACTGGAAAGCACAGCCAGGTYTGCTCAGAGCAGCCCCAAAACCACAGCTGACATCTGGGGCCAAGAATGGCACTGAACACACCAGGGAAAAGTGTCACACCATCACATGTGAAGAGAAGTGAAATCTARCAT